TTTTTTTTTTTTTTTTTTTTTTTTTTTGCAGCTGGCCAGTACAGAGATCTGATCCTGTGACCTTGGTGTTATAAGGCTGCACTCTAACCAAGTGAGCTAATCAGCCAGGCTCACGGAGACGATTCTTGAAGGCCAAAAAGATCTCATGTCCATGTGTGGCTTCTGGCACAACAGGGATGGCTCACCGAATATTTGCTGAAGTGGATAGAATATAGAAGTTGATTTCTGTGGGTGTGTTTCATCTTTGCCTGTTACAGAGGGGGGAGAAGCACTGCCAACCATTAAAGCATCTACCTTTTCTTGTTTCAAGTCGCATTATTATCTCTTATTACCACTCTCCCAAGCTTCTCTTGCATCTCAAAATATTTACAGTGGTTTACAGTTGGAATGTTCACCATCTCGTCACATCCCTCAAATAACATGGCAAAAAAATAAATTGTTATTGTTGAACTCTATGTTGTTACTCCCTGCTTAAAACTCTCCAATTCACGGGCCGGCCCGGTGGCGCACTTGGTAGAGTGCGGCACTTGGGAGCGTGGTGGCGCTCCCACTGAGGGTTCGGATCCCATATAGAGACCGGTCCGCTCACTGGTTGAGCGCGGTGCGGGCACGACACCGAGGGTTGCAATCCCATTGCCAGTCACGGTATGGGTGCGACACCGAGGGTTGCGATCCCATTACCGGTCACGAAAAAAGACAAAAAGGAAAAAAAAAAAAACCTCTCCAATTCACTTAAGTAAAAACCAGGTACCTTAGTAAGGCCAGCCGCATTCAGTGCGATCTGGGCCTTCCTATTCTTGGGCAACTCCCCTCCTGCCCAAAGGTGCTCCAGCCACACTGGCCTCCTTCCATGTCCTCAGGGCTTTGACACTTGCTGTACTTTCTATCTGGAATACCATCTGTATTAGTTTTCTCAGGCTAACGAAATACCACAGACTGGGTGGCTGAAACAACAAAATCTTACTTCTCACAGTTCTGGAGGCTGGAAGTCTAAGATAAAAGTCCTGGTGGGGTTGATTTCTCCTGAGGCCTCTGTCCTTGACTTGTAGATGGCTGTCTTTTCACTATGTCCTCACATAGTCTTTTCTCTGTACATCCCTGGTGTCCCTCTGGGTGTTCTAATCTCCTCTTATAAAGACACTAGTTATATCAAATTAGGGCCCACCCTAATGACCCATTCTACCTTGATTACCTCTTTAAAGGCTCTATCTCCAAATACAGTCACATGCTGGTGAGGTACTGGGAGTTAGGGCTTCAATATATGAATAAGAGGGGCACAATTCAGTCCATAACACTATCCCCAACTCTTCTAAAGCCGGTTTCTTCTCATTGTTTAGATACAGCTTAGGTGACGTCAATTCCGAGAAGCGTCCCCTGATGACCCTCCCTCATCAGTCCCTCTCTTAACACCCTGCTGTTTTTCTCCTTTATACACAATCCATTGTTACCATGTTTACTTAGCTGCCAACTTGTGTGTATTTGTCTGTCTTCTCCAGCAGTGTGTTGGCTAATGTTTAACAACCAGTTATGGGGTGTAGGATGGTGCTGGTTGGGAGAACAGGGAGGGCTGCTTTATAGTGTTTGCCAATTTCATTTTTTTGCAGCTGGCTGGTAAGGGGATCCAAACCTTTGACCTTGTTATCAACACCACACTCTAACTAGTGTTTGCCAGTTTCTGTGGTGTAATATAGCCAACCTCAAGCTACCAACAAGACATCAAACAGTTTTCAAAATTCCTGAAAATCTAACAACCTGTTTTTGCAATCAGGTGAAATCTGGCTCTAACTCCCTCTTTCTGGAATGTAGACTCCATTGAGGGCAGGAGCTTGTCTTCCCTCTTCATAGTAACATCTCCAATGTCTAGGACAGATCCTAGGGCGGAAGTATCACTCAATAATTATTTACCGAATGAATTAAATTATTTAATCCAGCTCCGAAGACATTTCATGAGTTTGCCCTTTTGACCCCTCTTGTGTCCGTGTTGGCCATTTAGCTGCCTGGTCCCCTTTAACCCCCAGTCCTTGTGGTACACCCCTGGAGATATCCAAGTCCCCCAAAGGCCATATGTCCTCTCACACCTCTCTACCCAGACAGCCTTAACCCTGGATGACTTCCACTTAGCTAAAAGTGCCAACATATGTTTTTATCACCCCTGCAGGGTGATGCAACCTCTGGGCTCCCCCAGCCCCCCATGCTACCCTCCCTCTGGCCCCTGCCTACAGATGTCTCTTTCATCCTCTGCCTCCCTGGGTGTTCCTGAGCTGAGTGCCCGGCACACAAGCAGCGCTCACATGAGGGACTGAATGAGCAGCAGAACGGCAATGATGGGGGGGCCCTGGGGGGCACTCAGCTATAGCACAATTTGGTCAAAGGCTGCTCTTGCCCTGGAAGAATAAAAGAAATTCTCTATTCATGAAAGAATGGAGAAACAGATGAGCAATTAAATGCCTGAGCCCAGAGTAATGATGATTAAGGAATGTTGGGAAAGGACGTTATTACAAGGCTCTGACAGCATTTGAAAGCGCTCCGAGTTCAGGAGAGTGCTTTGGGAGGGCAGGGCTGACTGTTATCAGAAGATGCCAGGCCCCTCATTCCTGACCCGTTAGGTCACCAAGAGCTGGGAGCAAGGCTGGGTGCCACAGTTTGTGCTCCACCTTAGCTCCCTGCCTTTTTTTTTTTTTTTTTTTTTAAAGATGACCGATAAGGGGATCTTAACCCTTGGCTTGGGGTTGTCAGCACCACGCTCAGCCAGTGAGCGAACCGGCCATCCCTATATGGGATCCGAACCCGGGGCCTTGGTGTTGTTATCAGCACCACACTCTACCGAGTGAGCCACGGGCCGGCCCAGCTCCCTGCCTTTTTTTTTTTTTTTAAAGATGACCGATAAGGGGATCTTAACCCTTGGCTTGGGGTTGTCAGCACCACGCTCAGCCAGTGAGCGAACCGGCCATCCCTATATGGGATCCGAACCCGGGGCCTTGGTGTTGTTATCAGCACCACACTCTACCGAGTGAGCCACGGGCCGGCCCAGCTCCCTGCCTTTTGAGAGACAATTTGACCTGAAAGAGTGAGAAGGACTGTGGGAAGATCTGAGGAAGGGCCTTCCTACTGGTGGGTTCTTAAATCGTGAGAGTGTAATCTGTAAAATGGGATGACAATAAGGTTTGTCTCATACAGTGATAAAAAGGATTCAATGAGACACTGCTGGATCAGTGCTTGGAATGAACCTTGGCATACAGTAAACACTCAATTAATGCAGGAGGACAATGTTTGTGTTTCTTTAGCCACCAGTATGTCAACTCCGTGGAATAAGGTCACTATCTGTCCCTGCTGTATCCCCAGAGCCTAAAAACAGTGCCTGCACACAGACGGCGCATGAGTGAACCGATTATGTAACCATGTTCTGGTAACAGACCTGGGAAGACAGCTCGATGTCCTGCATGCTTGGTTCCCACCACTCAGTGCCGCAATCTGCCCATTTCCTCACTCACCCCGCGCAGGCAGTGACCACACAGAGCCGATGACTCGGCATGGTACTTCTCTAAACGCTCCATAGGGCTATCGGAATCCCCAGGGCCTGGTTGGTCAGGGTGAGCTGATGACTGGGGGCCCAGTGTGCCACACTTTCCCGTTAGCTGACCTCGGGTCAGCAGGCCGGCAAGACCTTGGGGTTCTGTTTGGGGAAGAAAACAGAATGTGCAACCCCAGGGAGGAGGGACATTGCACAGGTCCCCATGAAGCAGGAAATGAGCCCTGCCTGTCCCATGCCATGGCCTCTCTTGTTTGAAGCTCCCTTCTCTCCTTCCTCTGACCCTGAGCCTACCTTTGTCCTGGTAGGCCATCGGGCTGTCTGTAGTGAGCCTTAGAAATATCGTCTAACAGCTGGGGGGCAAGTTCATGGACCATCTAACAGTAACAATGTGCTAAATAAGTGCTTAATAACCTTAACTGAACACTTTGTGCACAGGCTCTAAATGAAAAGATTTTATTTTATTGACTCTCAAGAGGCACACAACTGTTCCCCAGACATTCTGTTCTTGCTGCAGCCAGGCCTTCTCACAGGCTGTTCCTCAGTTTGAAATGCCCTTCCTGGTAAATAGTCATCCTTCAGCACCTCCTCACAGAAGCCTTCCTCAGTTTGCCCAAGACAACAAAACCACAGCCTCTCATGGGCCCCCAAGTCAACATTTGGGTTTGTGTGTCTGTCTGGCACTGAGCAGTGGCCCCTCTGAAGCCCCAGGCTATGCAACATCCCCTTCTTATCCTGGGTGTCCATCTCCGTGCCCAGCACCTGGTAGGTGCACTGCAGATGTTGGCATCTCCTTCTCAACTCCTTGGCACTTCACCTCCATCTCTTGTGTGTTCCTCATCCCTTTGTCTTTATTTCATTTTTTGTCTTTATTCTAAGAACAAAGCTTGACATGTTATGCACATCTATAAGTGTTAAGTGGAATGACACAAATGAATCAATGACAAAGATTTGCCTGGAGAATCCATGGTCACCCCCAGCAAGAAATCACCAGAACAGGTGGAGGAGAGAAGGAAGCTAGTTGAAGGAAGAGAACAGGAGAAGGTGACGGACCTAACATTTATGGAGCTTCTGTGTGGCTGGGCATGTTTCATTCATTTCCTCGCCATAACCCTATGAAGCTGGCTTTATGATCCCCTTTTTATAGATGAAAATTGAAGGCACAGAGAGGTGAGGGACTTGCCCAGGATCACACAGCAAGCAAGTGTCAGAGCTGGGATTTAAGTACCATCTTCCAAGATCCACCAGTTGGACAGAGAAGGTAGAGGTGTGGCGGGGGGTGGGGGGGTGGGTAGCAGGGAGAAGCGAGGAGAGACTGCAAGACACTGGGGGAGAAGGAAAAGATCAGACTCAATCCCTGGGTGTGCACTGTCCCTGCCTTCCAGATGTCCTGTGTTATGGTTCCCGGGACAGATGTTCGCTGGCCCATGGATCCACCCGACTCCTCCAACACATTTAATCACTTTCTCTTGAGACTGCTCTGCTTTTTGAGGAGTTTTTTTCTTTTTTTTTCTGTTATCTATCCTGTCCTAAACACTTCCCTTTCACTCCTGGGACCAGGGTTTGGGTAACCTTAACCTCACAGGATTGTGCAACGCCCACTGAAGTTTTCAGGAACCCACAGCTTCTCAATAATGCTGAACTTGGTGAAATTTCCCAGTAAACACCTCCTCCGTCTGACTAACGCTTTCTTAGCTTGGCAATGCAATGTCCTATTTTTAAGGAACCTAGTCATTTGGTTTAAATTCTTTATTTGTTTTATTTTAATGACCTTCTGAATCATTCATTTTTCTACTTTTGAACTGATTCACTCTTTGCCACTTCCTTGTATAGAAATCCAACCCGTCCTTTAAGGCTCAGCATCAACCACCACCTTCTCCCGAAAATTATCTTCATCCATATTGCACTCCCTCCAGGAGGACGTATTCCCTCCCTCCCTACTTCCTGTACCGTTCATCTGGTATTTATTATATTGTCAGCATCATTATCATCATCATCATCATCATCATAATATACCAGATGCTTGAGTTATTTTTTATAACCCTCACCATGACCCGAGAAAGAAAGTAATGGCTGTTTCTATTTTACAGATAATGAAACTGAGCCTCAGAGACCTTAAGCCTCTTGCTCAAGGTCACACAAAGTAAGAGATGAAGCTGGGATGCTAAGTCAGCCCACTGGTCTCTAAAGCAAGTATCTCAAAAGGTCGCTGTTTGCATGGGGGTGCCTGGTACTGTGCTTGGCTCTTGCTGTGATCATGGTTTTGAGGTCTGTCACCTCCTATAGACTGTAAGACCCACAAAGTGTTTTGCTCCCTGTTACATTGTACACAATAAATGTCTGGGAATGAATAGCTGATGTTTCATAGATATTGACCAATGGCTGGAGGACTTTCTGTCCTCTGTATAGTGTTAGCTGCTTGAAGCTTTACTCAATTTTGTATTTCTTACAACATCAAGAGCTTGGTAGCAATCTCAGTCAATGCACATTGAATGAAAGAAGGGACAGGCAAGGGCTTGGAAGATTCCAGTAGGCATATTTTCTAGCTGAAAATCTCTGATAGGAAATTTTCAAAAATTATCTCCATAGCTCAGGATGAATGCTGCCAGGCAAGACTCCCTCATCACTTTTTTTCAGGTTGAACTAACAAAATCTTAAAGATTAAGAGTTCGATTGAGTTCATTCAGCACACATTTAATGGGTATCTCCTTTAGACCGGGCCCTGCACTCATAGACTAGTGCTGAATGGGGCAACATGAGCAACTAACTGGGTGGAGGAGGTCCTATGGGTGTCCACACTCCCTCTCACTCCTTCTGGGAGACAAGCTCCCTAGTGCCCTGAGAGCAGACAAGGTTGGAAACTCAGAAACAGGGGGAGGGAGGCAACAATGGCCCTGTTTGGTCTAAGAGAACCAGGCAGGAAAGATCTCAGCATGCCAGCAGCCTTCAAGAAGGGAATGCAGGCTGCAGAGGGGAGACCTGAAGGAGGCTGGTTCATCCCTAAAGCAACATGAACAGGACAGGTCTTTGGCCCATAGAAGGGACAATAGAAGAACTAGACACGGTGGGAAAGGTCTGGGAAGGGTAATAAAAACAAGCCAATTGGGGGTGGCACATGGAGGTGAAGGGCGTTAAGGGTGACCTTATCACTCAATGTAATGCTTTTTCCCTTAAATTCTGTTTTATCTGTCATCAATATGGCTAGCCCTGCTTTCTTTTCGTTTGTCCTTTCTTGATAATCCTGTGCTTGACCTTTCACTTGTAACCCCACAGGGATACTTCTTCTCAGATGGGTCTTCTACTATCAGCCTCTCATTGGCTTTTGGGTTTGGAGTTTGGGACTTGAATTGCAAGCTTTGGCTTTTGATAGGAGCATTCTATCAGGAAGCAGTAGAGCTTGCCTCTGCAGCCAGGCTGCCAGGACGGGAGGGTCGGCAAACACCCTGCTAATGTTTACAGAGCCTCAACCCACACTTAGCACTTCCTCTCCTGTTCCCACGCTATGGATAAGTAAGAGCATCCCATTTGGCAGATGGGGAAATTGAGGCCCAGAGACGTTAAGTAAGTTGCTCAAGGCCACATGATAAGAACATTCAATTGACATGCAGGGGACCATACATTTGGGGTAGATAAACTGATCTTTAACTCAAGAGCTTCTTTTGTTTTGTTTTGTTTTGGTAGCTGGCTGGTACAGGAATTCGAACCCTTGATTTTACCAACAGTGCACTTTTTTTTTTTTTCCTTTTTGTCTTTTTTACTGACCGGTAACGGGATCGCAACCCTCGGTGTTTCGCCCGCACCGCGCTCAGCCAGTGAGCGGGAACCGGTCTCCACATGGGATCCGCACCCTCGGCGGGAGCGCCGCCATGCTCCCAAGCGGCGCACTCTCCAGTGCGCCACTGGGCCTGCCCCCAACAGTGCACTTTAATGAACTGAACTAACCAGCCAGGCCAGCCCTGAGAGCTCCATTTTTTTTTCTTTCTATGGCTGGCAGGTAAGGGGATCTGAACCGGGAAACTTAGTGTTATAACACCGTACTCTAACCAGCTGAGCTAAGTGGTCAGCCCCCAAAGAGCTTCTTGATTGTTGGATTTGGCTGAAAGAACAGAGCCCTGTCCTCGCTTCTTCTCATAGGAAAGGAGGAGACTCAGACATGATGATGGTGAAGCAATAAATAGTAATAGTAATAATACTAGCAGCAAGTACTTGTGGGCCCAACACCGTGCCATGTGCTTTCCCTGTTTCATCTTCACTTTTCTCAGCATAATGAGTGAGAGCATGGACTCTGAAGCCAGACAGCCTAGATGTGAATCTCAGCTCTGCTGTTTACTGACTGTGACCTTGGGCAAGTCACTTTCCCTTCTGGGCCTCAGTTTCCTCATGTATAAAATGGGGCTGATAATAATGCACTTAATATTAGATCCTTAGCACATAGTAAATGGCATATAAATATTACTATTCCATTTCAAAACATCTAATAACAGCTTCTTTCCTTGGCTTATGAAAGGTGAGCATACCAAAGAAAACTGATAGGTGGGAACAGTTCATTTTTCAGAGCTGCAAGCAAAAGGGAAGGGAATTTTGCAATAAAGAAGACATCAGATAGCTATAGTTTCCATTTATAAATGGGGATCAGAGGGTCAGAGAGGGTAAGTCTGTTGCCTGAAATCACATAGCCAACAAGCAGCAGAAAGAGGATTTGAACTCAGACCTGTCTGACGTCACAGCTTAGGTCCTTGATCTTGACGCCATATCACCAGTCCCAGTGGTCATGGAAAGACCTGGTGCCTGGCCTTGCATTGAAAATGGACATATGAGTCACTGGCCATCCCCAGGGATGGCTGGGGAGTGAGAGGAGCTCAGCCACAGGGCAGAATGTTCCACCAGATGTTGAAGAGCAGCTGCCAGCACCACTCGGTCTCTTTCATACTGAGGAAAGGGAGGAGGAGAGAGCATGGAGGATCAGGGGCCGCAAGCCAGGGGAGCACAGCCTGGAACAGGGCCACAACTTGGTGAGTGACGTCAGGCTAACACATCTGGCCTCTGGAATGCTGAGGCCCCAGAAGACAGGCCCAGGTCTCTGCTTCTCCTTGCAACAGGCTCCTCTGAAATAACCCAGGCTGCTTTGTCAAGAAAAGTCTCAGGCTGTCTGTTTTCTCCTAGACAAATCAGCCCAGGAGGTGACAGGCAAAATGAGCCTTCAGTGTCCCCTGATGAAGACCAGGTCTCTGTAGACAAAGTACCAAAAGAAGCAAGGCTTCTGGTTCAGACAGTTCTGCGGTGGATTCCTGGCTATGTAACCCAGACCAGTGC